TGAACAAGTTCAATGTACCTTTAATGTGACAACGAATTTCCAAATGTTACCTAATTTACTTGTCTAGTTAAACATAAACTCATCATCATCAGCTCACTATACGTCCCCACCGAGGGGCTCGGAGCCTAACCTAAGTTGAGGGTGATTAGGCCAGTCAACCACGCTGGCCAAGTGCGGGTTGGTTAACTTCAGACATATCTTTGAATTTCTTCTCAGATATGTGCAGGTTGCATCACGATGTTTTCCTTCAAGTTGCGTACGTCGGATAACTGTACATATGTAAATCGGAGATCGAAAAACACATTGGTACACGGCGGGATTCGAACCCAGGACCTGCAGATTATAAGTCAAGTGCTTGACCACTGAGCCACCGACGCTCTAACATAAACTAATATTGTATTAATCTATCAACAACGTAACAAATGTATAAATATATTTCAATAAACATATCTTGCAGCAGACTTTACAATTGATGGGTAATTATCTGAGTAATATTTTTGTCCATTTGTCCTCCTAGAACATTACAATAGAGGTCAGAACACACTAGAATCTTTTTCAATCTACCAATCAGAGCGCTGGGATGTAGCAAGGACAGTTATTGTTAGAACTATGCTATGATACTATAGCTAGGTATAACTATGTAAACTGTCTGCTATGACGCGTATATAATTTGATATATTTAAATTGAACTACATAAACAGGGCATAGGCCTCCCCCAAAGTAATTTGGGGGAGGCCTATGCACAGCAGTGGGCGACTTACGGCTGAGAAAGAAGACATAAACAGGAGCCTCTATATGCACCCACAAAGTAAGTAAGAGCTAAAATATAGGCTAAAAAAAGATCGATACTTGACTTTTATTTAAAATCTTGTAGCATTATAATACGTTTAGAACAGAATTGAATAAATATGTTTAACAAATGCTTTGTCTCCTTGGACTTAACCTCCAATTTGAACCTTTTACCTTGATCTATGCAAAACTGAGGAGCGGAACAGCTCGTGTTAGGATCAACATCCTCGATGCGCCAGCCGGCACCTCACCTCTGGTGACTGAACTTACGAGTACATTCGGACACGTGTACACATACTAACAAAAGTGCTACAGTAATAATAAATATTGTACATGTGTGTTCATTTTTAGGTTGATGTTAATGTCTTGCTTGTTTATGTATGGTGTTTGAATTTTGTGTAATGCAAAGTTGAATCAAGAAACATTATTATTAACAATAAAAAAGAAAAATTCTATTTTTCAAACGCTATGAATTTAATTGTCTCTAGAGCCAGTGAAATAACATTTATGTTCCTGACACTTTTACTTGTAATTTTACAACATCCTATATTTATATATTGTAACATTTATCTATGTTACTTTACTATTATAATATTATAGATGCGAAAGTTTGGATTTATGGATGTTTGTTAGAAGGTATCGACGGTGTATCATATCGCGAATAAATTTGGATTATATGTAGACGTGCACTGTCGCTAAGAACACATAGGCTACTACATATATTTCCGCGTATAGAAAGTCGCGGGCAAAAGCTAGTAAATCCATAATTCAGGTGACGTAGCATCTTATTTTATTGTGTTTAGAATATATATAAATATACATGAAGAATCTAATAAGATATTTGAAAATATTTGTAGTAAACTTAATAATGTTAGCTGGTCTTTTCAGATGGAGCGATAACATGCTGAAGTCAGAAGCAATTGAATAAAGGAATTGGAAGAAGACAGACGGAAGGCAATATAGTTTGTTGTTCTATTTTTAGAAGAGCATTAAAATTAAACTTCTATAATATAAAGGGACTGATTTTTGTTTTATTATAAATATTCTAAAAAAACGGAAAGAAATAAGAACAAGATAATTAACGATAAATTTAATTAAATTCAATTTTTCAACACAATATTTGAAAATTCATTCGTTTTTTTGTCGTTGAATCTTCACACATTAACAATCTCAAAGTAGAGATACATAACACTAACGAGGTGAATGAATAAGTGCCTAATTGTAGTCATAAATAAAGTAAATAACATCTCATCATTTAAAATTAATATGTTATAGCGCAAAAAAGGCTTAGTCCCTAAACCCAAATGTCCCAAAACAAAAGGTGTCTACAAACCTGCGCAGGCGCACGCACACACGTACAACGCCGAAACTCTGACTTAGATAAGCTTGGAAAATTATGTAGACGCGACAGACATTTGCAATGTAGTATTTTCTAGCTACAACTTTTACTTTTATGGAAGCTTAGTTGTTTTATTGTTTGTTTATTTGTTACAGCTCAAGTTGCTGTAACTTTTAAAGCTTCGTTGTTACTCTGAGCCTACACGTGTGTTGAAAAGTTTCTAAGGAGCCATATGAAACGTTCTATCATTACTGTAATTTGAATCATATTCACAATGATTTTTAAATTTCGGACTTTACAGCAATTTAGTTGCATCAAACATATTAGAATCTCTTTTTCTTTTACAAGCTTTGAACTGTCTTTTTAAAAAGATAATCTGTAATTATTAATGTATAACTGCAAGTAGTAACATTAGAAGAAAACTCAATGTCGCGTCTGAATTTCTGTTTACTCTTGGACAACAGTTGTGTAGCTATACGTCGATTCGTCCTTTTTCTAACAAGGGCGTGCGGCCGACAACCCTGCGCTATCGATCTAATGCGCACACGCCGATGGCCGACCGTCGTGTGTTTGTGTGTGTGTGTGTGTGCGGGGCTCGCTGATTGCACAGGGTGACTTTTAGTTTCAACGGAATCTAGCTATCGTTATTAAACGTAATTGAAACGACTATTTGATACCATTTTTTTTAATTCTAGTTAGAAATATAATGAATGTTTGATTTTAATTTTATTTATAATAATTTAGTAATTTTTATATACATGTTGTGGTAACATTTGAACTTTTCCCGTTTTTATTTATGTATAATAATAAAAAATATAAACAACTTAATTTATTCTATCAGGGGTTCTTTTTACTCTAAATTTAGTTAAAAAAAATTAAAACTATTTAATTAAAGGATAATTTCATAAGATAAGAATTCCTTATATATTTACTATATATTCCGTATTAGAAGTATGGGGAAAGTCATCCTTCAATTATATAAATATAAACTTATGTAATTTTTATATTTTCCTTGTCAAGAATATTTGAATAACGTAAATATGTACTATCATTAGTTATGTACTAATGATAGTAATTTCTTTAGTTCATCCAAGAAATAAGAATAAAACTTGATGTTTTCTTTTCTTCTCTTTTGGCTTTCACACGAAGTGTATTTAACCAAGTTATTTTTTAGATATTGAATAGAGGAATGTAGATGTATCATTACGTTTTTAAATTATCTACTTTTTTTCTCTCGTTAACAGATTATAATTTAAATTGTAATATAGTTTTCACCCTGCTGTATAGTCAGTCCTAACCCACTAACTGACTTCGGGCCCCGGTCAGGCATTGAATAGTTTCAAAAGGTTTATTTTACACTATTTTTAGGGCACCTGTTCACTCCAGACGACCTTTGTCGAAGCTTCAATACTTATTGGTTTTATTTTTCAGACTCTTTTAGCTCTTTGACGCAATTAAAAAAGCCTTTATAAGATTTCATTTATGACTCTGTCTATAACTAAGCTATGAAGTTAAAATATTTTAAGTTTGTATAACTAAACAAGTGGTCGTGTGGTTTTTTAACTATTTATTGAATAGTTACTTTGATTATAAAAATAGCGCGCCTTCCCGTAGCACACTTATATCCAATGAATGTCTAATGCACCATTGTTGCCAGCATAGGAAAAAAGTTTATAATAAATTGAATGTTGCCAATACAAAAAGAAATTAATAAGAATGAAACAAAAACAATAAATAATTTATGTGAATTAATTGAACAAAGTTTGTATTGATTTTACTTATTTTAAATATTTCACTCTATTGTTTATTGCTTTGTTAATCTAATATGAATGTAATATTTTCTGTAAAAAGTTTCTAGTTTATATTTTTTATTCTTTATGTGGCCATTATTAATTTTAAATAATGTAATTGATTTTTTTGGCCATTTCTTCATTAAAGTGTAGAGCTGAACATGTATACACAATGAGCCTTTATCTTGTTGCCATCACGATGAACAATGTAATTTCCGTATATTATTTTTGCTGTAAAAACATATTTCTTGAGTTGAAGCACAGATGGTTGCATGATGAATGTTATTATAAGTATGAAATAAAACTAAAGGTACATTTTTGTCAATTTATTTCAAATTTAAGCGTTTTTAATACTAATAACAAAGTTACAAGACAAGTATTTTATGTACAAGAGTGTTAAATAAAGTATAGTATGTTCCTGCAGTGATGAGATGGCCTTGATCTTGCAGAATCTTCTCCGTATTGCTACAGTATTATTTTCTGCTTCCCAGTGGTTATAACGTCACATGAATTGTTAAAATATTCAAATAGATAATAAAAAAAAACGAATAAATCAATTTGAATTATGGAAGAAGTCGAGATAATCTGTACTTATTTCCACATAAATCGATACGTTCGGGAAGTTTTAAGGCGAATAAAAATTTCCAAATCCGCAAACATTGTCCGGACATTTTTGAATGCGTTCGCGCCGAAAACTGCAAACAACGTTCATAAAGCAAACACGGGCTTCTGTTGCCGCTTGCCGCGATGGACAAGTGGAAACGTATCCTTTTAGCGAAATTAGTCAGAGTTCCCGAAAAACACGGCCGTCGACCCCTCAGGGCAACACCTAAATATTTTAGTATCGAAAAAAATCACATGTTTACATAACACGGAGAATTTTTAAAGAAACTTCACGCCGAAGGGCTACCGACGCACACACACGAAAATTATGCATGTGCGGGTGACGCACACATGGAGAAGACATAAAAATGCCCAATCGGTACATGTCGCACCACTACAATGAAGGGACGACGTAAGTCGCATACGAGTGCATAATTCGGCCGAGATGCAAAAAAAATATTTGGCAATGCGGCCCCTACGCGCCCGCCAGTCGCCCGCCCGACAGGGTTAGGTTAGGTTAGATTTTTTGGCTCAAAACGCTCGTTGGGAATTTTTTGAAAAGTATTTTATATGTTCATTGCTAGGAGAAGGCGGTCTTCTTACAGCTTAACTAGCGACAGTTCGTCGCAATTTTTGAATCAGAGCACGTGTCTCCCGACTCTAGTCGGATTCCAATTTGAATTCGGGAATTTAGCATTCGATTCCATCAAAGCTTTTATCTATATTTAATTGTTTTCGGGCGTTTTGTGGCAAGCTGGGGGGCGAGCGCAGTACTCATTCTCCGTATCTTTTACAGATCCAGACGATGGCATAAATTATTTTTTTATTAATCTAATGAATTCAAGATTTTTCCTTTTTCTACAAAAAAGACTTTAGTGATTTTGTGACGTGTTGTGATTTATTTTATTCGTTATTTAGATATTTTTTGTTTGGACACTCTGGTGTTTTATCCCTTTTATTTGGTAAGTATTTTTATTTAATTTTATTTTATTTTTTTAATATTTGTTTTACTTTATGTTTTAACTTTTATGTTTTATTATTTAAAAGTATAAATTAAATTCACATTGTGTTGAAATATTAAATTACGATTTAATATGAACTAAATGCACATAAAAACATCACCGAGCACACACGAGAGAAACGTTACTTTGCAGAACTGCTGAAAGTAAAACAATATTAAAAAGAAACACTGATGTATAACAAATAAAATGTATTTCTAATAAGAAATGGGATAGACTAGACACAAGGACACGTCGTCCTGTGACGTCAGCGTCGCTAGGCACTGCCGAGAAAGTCGGCCATCTTGATTCTACACTCTTTTTTTGAAGCCTACAAAGTGCGCGGGCGCAAGCGCCATATTGCTGTACATAATTTGGATTTAGAAATTTCTGGTTAAGTGTGTGCTAATAACGAAATAAAACAAATCATTGTTTAATATTTTAATTAAATAAAATAGAATTAAAGTACTGATTTTCATAATGATAATTAGTAGATTAACTTTGTGCTTAATTTTACTCTTATAGAAATGTTTTATCGCATTTTCATTTGATTATTAGGTTAAAAAAAAACTAATAGGTCGTTCCTTAAAGTGAAAAGCTATTTTTAAATTATTTTCCATAAAACGTACGTATGTTATAATATATTACAATGGTACTAAAGTATTACTGGTTTAATTAAAATTATTATAAACCAGTGTCTTTTTAAAATAATGTTTATTTTACATCTATTTAAGACCAAAAGACAGTACATTACTTATATTCTAAGATATATAAGATTAAACATTACCTAATAGGAATTAAAATCTAAGAAAATCAAAATAAATGAAAGCAACTTACCGATATTAATTTTATTTATCTTAAATAAACTGAATACAAAAATATCTCCCTCCCTCTCTTATTTCATCTCATCGGTACGAATTTGTTCATAAGATTCATGAGATCATGAGATTTTCTAGATAAATTATTTATTAGACTTATTATAATACTTAATAGGTAAAAATAATCTAACTGTATCTAAGAATGAAAAAAACACTAAAAAATACTACAATTGTGCTTCCTGAAAATTTTGCTTTTCAGTTGTACGAGTGAATGAGGCTAACTGTTTTAGATAAACTACACAATAAATTACAACAACATAACTAACGCCCGTAACCCAGTGGGGTAGGCAGAGATACGGGCCTGCATTTGACGCGGTCTTAGCATGCTGGATTCAGATTCTTTTAATACCGGCCTTCCTGATTATTTCATTAACTAGGATATTTTTTACAATTAAGTAACTGTCGCTCACGACTCCGTCCTCGTGGAATTAAAAAAAACCTTAATTAGTAGCCTATGTGTTCCTCCAGAATATGTTCTAAATGTATACCAAATTTAATCGAGATCCATTCATCCATCCATCCATCTAAACATTCGCATTTATAATATTAGTTAGATTTAACTGTTCAAATGTTTTGGTTTGTCCTTAATTCCCATATTCATCAGATAGTTTATTTAACCATTTACTATCAATAAGTGGAAATATGTATAAACCGAATTTAAAATTTTGGTTTTAAACGAAAAAAGGTTGACGAAATTATTGAGAGATTTTTTTTTTCTATAATAAGTAAACTCTTGACAACGTTAACACTTCATATTAGATGGCGATGTAGTCAAAAGATGGTACGAGCTAGTTAAAAAGCTATATTCGTAGAAAAAACAAATTCAATGTTTATATAATAAGCAAGTGTTTGCACACCTTGTGTTTTGTAGACGCATCAATTTCATCGCTTTTTCTAGTGATGACTAGCTGTCGAACGACACTTCATACCCATGGAGTAGGAATTGACATAAAAACTGTTATATCTTCATTAGCTCACATACCCACTGAGGAGCTGGATGCATATCTTAGGTTAGGTTTGACGAGACCTATATGTACTTTATTAATATTAAGTGTTTCAAGATATAAAACTTTTAGAGAATAATTTATAAAATTATTTAGTGTTCTACGTAATAGTAGAAAACTTTTTGTAGAACTTTTAATTCTCTAGGCTCAGTAGTTTCCTCTACAGTCAACAACGATAACAAATTACGCCGTCTTTTATTGCAAAATAACTTAATATAAATAATTTTTTTTTATAAGAGAAGGGGGCAAACGAGCGGCGGGAACACCGAGGTGATCAACGACACCCATGGACATCTGCAACACCAGAGGAACTGTAGATGCGTTGCCGGCCTTTAATTAGAAATTATAACAACACTATCGAAACAATTTTACCTTTACTAGGCTGTCATCAGACTTAATTAAGCAGATATGTTTGTTTAAAGAATTTAAATAAATTTTCCAAAATAAATACATAGACAATTACTACATTGTCAGCCAGTGACATATGTAAATGTAATTTCTCATTTCCACTGAATTCGAACATTATTCAGTTGTTCCTAAAAAGTTTAGTCAGCACTCTCTCTTAGCTGGAGGAAAATATTTTGTAATGAAGCTAAACGTAGGTAGCTCGAGTTGTTCGCATGTAAGAACAAAATGTTCCATTAGCTATGTCGTTTTCAAGTTCTCAAAATAGCGTGAGTTTCCACAGATTTTTACACTTTAGAACGTTAGAACACTTTTATAAAATCATATAGTTTTGCTATGATTCTTTTAAAATATTGACATATTATAGATATGTAGATAACGCCGGCAACGCATCTGCGGTTCTTCTGGTATTGCTGATGTCCACGGGCGTCGTTGAACACCTCGGTGTTCCTGCTGCTCGTTTGCCCCCTTCTGTTCTAAAATAAATAAATAAATAACACTACTTTAAAAACTAAATCTAAAAAGATAATTTTCTGTCCGCTTTCCCATCAACGTACATATAAACTATAATTTATAAAACATATCATAGGTAATTTTGAATGAATGTTCATGAATTTTCGTGCATACGACATTTTAGTCTTATTCTTTGTTGTCAACATTGCTAACTACGTTCGAAGGAAACGTTTGATTTATCTTTTATTAGCTATCGCCCGCGACTCCGTCCGCGTGGACTTAAAAAAACTATTAGTATCCATGTGTTTTTCCAGACTATGTTCTGTATCTATGCCAAATTTCAGAGAAATCCATATAGGCGTTCTGGAGATAGCTTCTAACAAACATCCATCCATCCAAACTTTCGTATTTATAATATTACTAAGGATTGTGAGCACGGAAATGTATTGGAATAAGGGAATAGTAATAACTTATAATGTGTCAAACTTAAGCTTAAATAGTCTATAATGATACTAGAATAAAAATCTCCTGCTAAATTTACTTTGTTTTTTTCCTTTGCATAAACTTCACAAACATCGTAACCTACATGCAATTAATCGTTACACGGATACGGGCTTACACATACATATATCCTGCTATCCTTTTCGCACATCTCAATGTGCAGCACTAAGAGACACCGTGTCAATTCGCAATTTAAAATACGTACAAACACAGTGCACACTTGTTTAGTTGGAAAACTGCGCGCATGAAGAGTGATAGTCATAAAAATCGACCAGTCAATGTTGGCACGCGTTGTCGTTCACAATGTGCTTGATTATGGGTCGTTTTATTTTGTACCACGTGCTTGGAAATTGTTGGTCGTTTTTTTAAGTTTGGTGTTTCGCTCAACTATGCGTCCATTTGTTTTTATTCTTGTGTTATTTCTCACATAAAGTATAATATGTTGTATTCTATGCGAAAATCACAGCTTTACTTAAAAGGATATTTAATTAATTAGCACCAAAATATACGAATATCTTCCACATCCTGCAAAGACTCTTTGTTATTTCTTAACTTTTCTTGAAATTATTATATCTATAACTTATCGTTTTAAATCAATATATTTGTTAACGGTACCATAGTCCTAAATTAAGACTGTACCTTTAAATAATAAGTTTAGATACTTGCACGTTCTCAATAAACAATTAAATGTTTCGTCTTGTGCCGCTGAGTACCGTGTATTCACTCTGAGTACCGTGCCATGTTACTGCACAAACTCTATCGTATATTTAAATCTACTGCAGCAGATTCAATAACAACATTATTCCAAGGTCGACGACGCAAGCGTCTTTTGCGCGTTAGTATTTCTTGACAGAATTAGCACATAAATTGTTTACCGATGCGCAACTAACATATCAATTACTATGTTTATTAGTACAGTGATGATAGGACACCTAATTGACGCCGAAATTTATCTTGAAACTTCACTATATTGTTACACTAGTTGTCACCCGCGACTGTCCGCGCAGAAATAAAAACTTAATTGTGCCTATGTGTTCTTCCAAGCTATGTTACATCCATCCATCTTAACATTCACATTTATAATATTAGTAATATTTAGGAAATCGATAAAATTTGTTTAGGAGTATCTGAATTTAATAATCATAAACAATTTTTTTTTTATTATCATCATAAACAATATACATAAAATACACGAATGTATAACGAGTCTTATATGTCTAGATCTAGCTTGTATCAGTAAAGTGTTAATTTTTGCAATACTTAGCACTCTCGGAATGGAATCCTCAGCCACATATTGTATTGGAGCTTAATGAAGCCATCGCTTATATTAAACAGGTTCGCAGACGCGAGGCACCACGTGCGGAGCCTCTATTAGTCTGGAATCACATAGACTTAAGCGCACAAGATTAACTATCTACCAGCTAATCAATTTTCAACTTTAAAACATTAAATAAAGGTGCATTTTTATTTAAATATATTAACATTTGTAAGTCCGATAGTTTTATAATGAAGGGACCGGTGATTCAATAACCAAGTCATAAGGGTATAAAAAAGTCCTACTTAAACATATATATACATATTAAGTATCTACATTTCATAAATAAACTATATTTTTTCTAAAAATCTAACTATAAACTGTAGGAATCTCGACTGCATTTGAAATTAAAAATGCCAATAGTTTGTGGCAAATTTGCGCCTTTTATCTTCCTGCATCTTGTTTCTT